TAAAAATATCAGACTCTTTGTCATTTTAATTGTTATGAACATTCAGCACTTTCACTGAGCACATTGTTTGAGCTAAATAAAAGGTTAAATATGAATATTAACAGTATAGTTTTAATAGAGCAGTGTCGTGAAATTGAGAGAAATTGACTGCATTTTTATTTTATTTGAATGGTTTAGCTGATGCATATTTTCTCATTTCTGTGTGAATTCTGTCTAAAAGGTGTGCATTACTGGTGCACAGCTCTAATTTTTGCCAAAGGTAAACTTAGTATCTGGTCTGTTGACCACAGGACAGGAAGAGCAGAATGCAATCATTTGTGTTTCAAACAGATGAATGTACAGGCAGATCAACTTGTTCACAACCGCAAGTATGCGCAGCACTGGGAAATAATTAAATAATTGAATTCGTACCTGGAAATGTTGGGGGAGAGGTGTATTTCTAAAGCTGTATTTCTAAAGATGCCTGTTTTTCTAAAGGTACGAAAACATTAATGGCTGGGCATACCTGATGCAAATGAAAAAACCAACAATCTCTAACTACACATTACATGCAAACATGTCACAAAAGCCAAGACAGTGCAGAGCATAGTGACTAGGTTGCTTGGGAAGGCAAAATACCACCAGCATATAACACTTTGCTTCTGGGATTTCCACTAGCTACCAATCTGCTATTGGGCCAACTTCAAGGTTTTGGTATTAACATATAAGGCTCTATACAGCTCAGGACCAGGTTACTTGAGAGTCTGTCTTATTCCTTATCCATCCAGTAGGTATATATACCTCCACTGTAAGCTGCAAAATAGATTCTTCTGCAAGTAACAAAGATACTGCTTCACATTAACTCAGAGCAGGGCTTTCACTGTAGCTGCCCCTGTTCTGTTGGACAGCAATCCTGTCAAAATGCCACAGGCATCCACTATTTGCATTTCCCCGAAACAATTTAATATAGCATAAACTCTCCTAAATGTATAATAATAATAATAATAATAATTTTATTTATACCCCGCCCTCCCCAGCCAAGGCCGAGCTCAGAGCGGCTTACAAGCAATAATAAAAACAAGTTGAATGATTACAACTTAAAAACAAAATTAAAATACAACAATGAAATATTGAAACATTAAAATATTAAAATGTAGCCTCATTGCAGGAGGAGAAGGAAAGGAAAAAAAGAAAGAGAGGGAGGGAATCAAATTGGCTCCAAGCCACAATACTGCAAAGCTCTCTGCTGTTTTGTTGCAACACATTAAACGTACTCAATTTACTCAAAAGTGAATCCCACAGAATTCAACGACACCTTTCACTCTCATTCTCTGAGATCACCCATTTTTCTAGCAAATTACTTTGGCTAGTGAAGGCTGGCCAAAGGTTGAGTTGTAAGCGAACATGCTCAAAAACAAGAATTTCTAAAATCAATATAGCTTAAAACTTTCCCATTGACATCCTCACTAGGATTGGATATTTGTGACTTTCTGAGTCAAAGAGCTACCATAGCTATTGTGTGCCATCTAGTGTTAAGCATGGGAAAGAGAGGGTGCCAAAATAATGTCTGGTATAAAATACTGCAAACATTTATTAAGACCAACTACAGTGGTACTTTGGGTTATGAACTTAATTCGTTCCGGAGGTCCGTTCTTAACCAGAAACCGTTCTTAACCTGAGGCGCGCTTTCACTAATGGGACTGCCCGCTGCCACCACACTTTTCTGTTCTCATCCTGGGGCAAAGTTTGTAACCCAAGGTACGATTTCTGGGTTAGCAGAGTTTGTAACCCGAAGCGTTTGTAACCCGAGGTACCACTGTGAAGTTGTTTCCTCATGGACTAACACAAAGGCTTGCAAATTTGGTGTAAAGCCAACCAGTTACTTACTGTGAAATCCTATATATAGAAGTAAGTCCACTTGACGATTATTCCTAGTTACGGTAAGTTGGTATGTGTCTGCAGTCACAAAACACATTTTTAAAACTAGCATGTCAGGAATTAAAATAAGCTAAATAAAAATAAATAAATAAAAATAAACGTGGCCAGGATTCAAATAATTCTTTGATGGCCAAGGTATGTTTTAACCAACCATGTGAAATTCAGTAGGCTACTTCATTGTCCCTTCAGAGAGTATGGCTATTTCCACAAGAAAGAAAAAAAGCTCTTTGTAGAAGCAGCCAACCTGCAGGCATGATGAAGGGGATCATCTCACAGAACTGTGTAATGTAATGGAACACATACTGAAAGAAGAAAAGTTTGCTTCCCCCATTTTTACCTGGACTAATTTCCTGTTTGGATTTTCCTATATTCTGGATCAGCCACAGTTGGTAGGGCAGGGCTGCTTACCTGATCTCCCATCTCCTATTTCACATTTGTGCTGAGCTGACTTACTGCTGCCTCCCCATCCCTGTCTGATATGGTGCAGTGAATAAATAAATAAATAAAAAGTGGAGGCACAAGAAGCTTCTCCAATTGGAAGTGTATAGATGTGAGAATGAGCTTCCTAAATTTTACTGGAACCATAGCTGTCAACCTTCCCTTTTTTTGCAGGAAATTCCCTTATTCCAGTGCCGTTTCCCGCTACTTCCTGCTGCTATCCCGGATTGTTAGATATCCCGTAGACTGTCCCCGGGACAGGTGAGGCTGCTGATGCCTTATTTTCGAGGCTGCTGATCCCTTATTTTCAAATCTGAAAGTTGACAGCTATGACTGGAACCAGTTAGGAATTTAAAGATAAAAAGTCGAACCTTGCAAAGCAAAACACTGCTTATTAACTGAGATTGAGGGATATTAGTGCTGTCAGTTCCTGACGGAAGCCAAGATGCCATACTTGTAACCAGTTTTCAAGGGCAACCCTACAGATAGTCAGATTGGGAGGTTACCAGGAAAATCTACAAAGCATATCCTATTTTGCAGGGTTGACTTTTTCCCATGTTTGACCACTGTGTGGCCCCCTCCACCTACAAATGTGGATATATGTTGTTTATTCTCTGCTTTATTTATCTAGAATATATCTGAGTGCTGGTTTTTTTAATTTAAAAAGTAAGGAAGAAAAAAGGAGAGCTGAATATGTAAAAGACAATTTATAGAAATATATAGAGTATCATTCCCTTAAGGCATAGTACACGTGTGTGTGTGTGTGTGTGTGTAGGTGTGTCTGTAAAAACACACTAAACAGCTTTGAAGTTCTTTTAAAGGCATCCCATGTAGGTGGCCATCATTGCTTCCACTGTGGGAGCAAGTTCCATAACTTAATTATTAAGTTCCAATAACTTAATCACTGCGTGAAGATGTACTTTCCTTTAATTGTCCTGAATCAGTGATCTACACATTGCAGCCCTAAATTAACCCAATTTTTCTGCATAATTGGGAAGAAAGACCCAGGAAGAATCCAATGGTGGCTAATCCATGGGCCTCCAGTTATTGCTGGAATTCAAGTCCCATCTACTTACTTACTTACTTAGTTACACACACACACACACACACACACACACACACACGTTTAGCCACCCCTTTATCAGATACAATATCAGAGGTACAATAAAAGAAAAAATGTTAAAAACATTCCTATCAACATAGGAAAAAGGAGAAAATAAAATCATAACCCATTTGCTATGCTGGCTGGGTCTGATGGGAGTTGTAGTCCAATATCTTTTATATGGCCACAGGTAGGTAGGTAGGTTAGTTAGTTATGCTTTTAATTATGTTTATGTATTTTTATTCCTGTAATCATTTTTTGTTTTGTTTTTAATAGCTTTGGAACTTTTGGTAGTGAGAAGTGATGCATAGATAAACTAATAGTTGTTGGGTTTACAGTATTCCTTTTTATGACTATCTTAAGATGTGCTTGCTAACACTGATGCACAATATGTGGAATGCCCATACATATAGGGAAAAGACTGAACTCCCAGAAGTAAATTCTACAGGTTTCAGTGCAGTTTACTTCGCCCACTACTCACATGGTGAAAAGCTTGTTGAGACCTGAATGGTGGTGATGGAACAGCCACATTTCTCATTTCCATATCTGTCCCATTCACGTTAAGGTAGACACCGAGGTCTACTTTTAATATCAAAAGAACCATGACTGAATGAGCCGAATCACACCTTACCTCCCTTCTTCATCTTCTTATCTCCATTCATCTTCCTCCCAGTTTCATCTTTTTCCAACAAGGCAAGCTGGGGAGAAAAGTACCTGGAGGAGGAAGAGGGAGAATGTGAATACTAGGTTAAGTGACAGTTGTTCACCTCCACTCATTTGTTAAGGCACTCTCACTCACCCTTCAAAAGTAAAAATAATAATTACTTCGAATATGAAATAGCTTACACAAGATGTTCCCCTATATAGATATCTCTTGCCTTAAGATATTCTAAAAGAGGCCAGATTTCTTGTAGTGGTTAATAGTAAAAATGTAGAGACATTTCCTTGCAAGAAGCATTGGGATGGGATTATAGAGATGATCCCTGGAGAGCAGAATGAGGAAGCTGGTCCATTTTTCTTTGACTTATTTTCACTTTTGTCTTCTGACTTCATAGTATTGGGAAGATTATAAATGTCCCACAAAGATTGAAGGAGCAGCAAAATTCACTTAGTGCTACTGCAAATACATACAGTATACAAGACTTAGGGCCTAGTTACACTTACCTTTTGCTCCACTCTTTCCAGCTAAAGACCTGTGCTTTAATGCTCTGTATCAGAGTGGCCCTTTTTTTCTTTCCCCACAAAAACCAACTCTTTAAAGCTGAATCAGAACAAACGTCAATTTGGGTTTTCTGCAGATTGACATTTGGTCTGATTGAGATTTAAAGAGTGGGTTTTCACAGGGAAAGCTCTGGAGCAATAAAAACCCCCCAAACCCGGCGCTTGGACAGGGAGCTTTAAATCACAAACCATGCCTGGAAAGAGCAAAGAAAAGTGTGAATAAGCCCCCAATCTAGTCAGATACCCCTTCTTTTTCTTTCCCGGCCCACAACTGATTCCCCCCAATGCAACCATTTCTAAAAACCTTTAGTTCCTACTCACATTACACGAGGAGCCTGACTGACTGAAGTTGCTTCAGCAGAAAATGTTGTCATAACTGCTAATTCATTCAAAGGCTATGTTAATGCTTGTCCTGATATATTGAACTCGGACTTATTTTATGCTTTCAGAAATGGGAGTAGCAGTAGCAGTAGCAAAGTGTTTCTTCTGTTTTTGTCTCTAGAGGCCTACAGGAAATCTAGGTAGCAGAACCAATACAAATATCATAAAATACAGTATGTAAGATATGCTTATGTGGTTGCCACCTAGTGACCAAAGGGCAAAAGCGTTTCTTTGAGGGGAAAAGTTGGAACTGCACACCCTCAAGGCTTGTTTCTTTTCTGGGGAATGGTTCCAAGATGGATGCCAGGCTGATAGCAGTACCTCAGAAGCCAAAAAATAAAACCAGTTATTGTTCGTTTTTAGTGTATTTCTTCATCTTCATGTATTTAAATACATTAAAGTACAAATAGTCAAAAGAACCAAAAAGCACTAATACAAAACGTCAAATGCAATGACATTTAAAGGAGCAGTAGTCAGGGGGTGGGGTGGGAGAGAAATCAATTTAAAGGCCACTGAAAGAATTGTCTTCAGTTTCTGGCGAGAGGCACTGAAGATGGCGACTGATGGATCTTGATCAGGAGGAAATGGAGGCGTTAAACCTTTCCCTTGACAAATACGAACACCCTGTACTTACAGGAATGCACACCCCATTCTTTAAATTCTGATAAAATTAAATCTCATTCCTCACACTTTACACAGAGATACAGGTACAAACAGGCACCAGGCCTAATACATTTTTATTCACTACGGCCTTTGGTAACTTAGCTGGCCTCTGTAAAATGGTGCCCACCATTATCTGGGGTAGGGACTTGGATTATTGAACATTTTTGGGATTATTATTATTATTAGGTAGTGGGTGGGCATAGCAGACGACACAGATTTCTCCAAGTACAGTGGTACCTCGGGTTACAAACACTTCAGGTTACATATGCTTCAGGTTACAGACACCGCTAACCCAGAAATATTACCTCGGGGTAAGAACTTTACCTCAGGATGAGAACAGAAATCGTGCTCCGGCGGCACAGCGGGAGGCCCCATTAGCTAAAGTGGTGCTTCAGGTTAAGAACAGTTTCAGGTTAAGAACGGACCTCCAGAACGAATTTAGTTCTTAACCCGAGATACCACTGTATTTCTTTATAAGTAAGATGGAACTGAACTGAACAGCAAACAGCTCAGCCGGCCTGCTTTTATAGGCAGCCGGCTGTCAACATTGTAACAACAACAGCCCAGGGTTTCCCGTCTAAATCAACGTACGTGGGCCTGACTGAAAACTATATACACAATACCCCCTGGTGGCCAGGGTGAGAACTTCAATACATAACAATTATTATTTTTAACTTCTCAGCTGTCGTATTTTCTTGTCATTTTGAGGCTTTTTCATTTTGTAAAAAGTGATGATGATGATGATGATGATGAAGAAAACAAAGCAAAGCAAAGCAAAGCAAAGCAAAACAAAACAAACAAAACAAAACAACAAAACAAAACAGAGCTGCCCCAGTCACATCTAGTTTGTGATTGACAGAGTTGTGTCCTAGAACAGGTATCTTCAATATTTTTGGACCCAGGACCCACTTTTAACCCAAACATACATTTGGGAACTGTTTCTTAATCTTTTGCCATATATTTGTGTGGTGGTAGTACTCCTGTTGCAACCTACCTTGGATCAGGCCACAACCCAATAGTAGGTCCTGACTTACTAGTCGGTGACCTAAAAGTATATTTTCTGGCCTTTGACATGTGAGATGTATGGTTTCAGGGCCCACCATATTCCCAACGACTGCACTCTGTTTCCAACTCTGTATTTTAAATTGTTGTAACCCACCCTGGGGCCTGCTGGTGAAGGGCAGGTCATGTTTTTAAAACAGCAACAATAATATTCAATACTTCCTTGGGTTGTTGTCATTACTGATGCTTTCTTTGACGTACTCCCAATAAGTTTTTGAGAAACACCAGGGTTCTCCAGAATACAGTCAAATGTTACTCTACTAAGAGATTTCAGTGAGATGTCCAATTATAATCTCCCTGTGTTTCTCCGTACCAGAAGACTAACTAAGTGATGGGAACCTCAGACTTGTAGAATGTGGCCTCCGAATGAAGGACTTCATAAATCTGCCAACTGAAAGTGCTTAAAAGTTTTTAATAACGATTGAACCATAATCCTAAGGAATAACATGCGATCTGGTATAGATTTTACCATAATTGCATGTATAATTCAGAACAGATGACATTCAAGATCAGGTTGCTTCTTGCATATGTGACATATAAAAAAATATTTCATGGGGATTTGAGCGGTTACAGAAGTCAGTTTTCCACTGTCCAGTTCTCACTCATTCCAAACGTGTGATATCAATTATGTATTTATTTGATTGAGATTAATCCTCTGTTTAAACAACAACAAAATCTTCATAATTCCATTAAATATGAGTATATGGCATGAAAAGGCATGCAGGTGTTTAGTTTTGCTGCAATGCACGAGTGGAAGATGTCAGCATGTGAACTTGGATTTGCCTTAATGCTCCCTGCCATAGTTCTCAGCCCTACTTTTAATGAAAAAGAAAGAAAGAAAAGGAAATAGTTTTGGTGTAGGGAGCTGCTGTGTGAGAAACTGCAGAGGCCAGATGTCGAAGTGGGTTTTCTGAGTGTTCACACTTGGCTCCTCTGTATTATTGCCCATTTCCCCCCATATATTACTAGTTCCATTTTGGGAATCATTTGTGAGGATGATCCGCAGCCCCTGACTGGATATATAGGAATGTAGGAAGCTGTCTTTGCAAAACAAATGCTCTATCACTGAGCTATGGTCCTTCCTCAAAATGTAATGTGATTCTTGCCACTCGGTATCTCTGTCTATTTTGGCCTTCCTAGCCATTTCATCTGCCTTCTTCCATCGGCTTCTATATGGCATACCTGGCATCTTGCTTGCTGTAACAGGTGAGGGAACAGGAGGGACAGATGACAGGGGCCAGGGCAGCAGGCATGGCAGCCACATCTCATGTTTCTTTGGGAACTTTAAATCAATCGCTCAGTGACAGAGCGCATGTTTAGCAGGCACAAGCTCCAGGGTGTATCAATTTAAAAGATTTTTATACCGCTGTTCATAAAATGTCACCGCAGTTTGAAGAATAAAAACAACATCCAATAAAAGAGCACAAATCAATTTGTTTTGCCAATCAAGACAATTTCAATAAAACAGCAATGATAGTAAAACAGCAGTAAAAACAGCTCAGTCAATGGAACAAGAGCAAGAAGCAATCAGAACAAAAAAGAATGCTCCTCCACTCTGAAATAAAACATAAGAGGGAGGCGGAATGAACCTCTCTTGAAAGGAAGTGCCAGAGTATTAAAGGCCACCACAGAGAAGGCCTTGCTCCTTATAGAGACTGCCCTGGTCTCTACTTAAAATGAAACCTTGGGCAGGGCCACCTCATGGGATTTAGGGCCGGGATCTTATATGAGATGATATGTAGAATGAAAAAACCAAAACCCAAGATATTGAGCGGGTTTAAAGATCGAAACCTCAATTGTGGACCAGTTGCTGGGAAGCATAAAGAGAGAGAGAGTGCTTTGTACTCATTTCCTGCTTGTGGACTTCTTGTAGGCACCTGGTTGGTTGCTATCGAAAGACCAGGTGGGCATTCAGTCCTGTCCAGTAGGGCTCTTCTTATGGCCCAGAAGTGCAGCTGCTTCAAGATAAGCAAGATATGAGAACATAAGAAGAGTTTGCTGGATCAGGCCAATGGCTCTTCTAGTCCAGCATCCCCTTCTCACAGTGACAAACCAGATGCCTGTGGGAAATTGACAAACAGGACCAATCATGGCTGGTATACATTGATATGAATATGTCTGTTCATCCAACCTGGTTGCCATCACTGCCTCCTTCTTTGAGAGCCAATTCCATAGTGGAAAATCCATTTGGACTAATCAACACGTGGGTTACTGCCTTCGGCACTAGATAAAGCTTCTCAACCGTTTTCAATGGTTGCCCAACACAGAGAGCTTGTGCACTGGTCTGGATGTCACCAAAGCATGAATAAGCCATCCCTGGATATCTAGTTAAATGATCTGAGTAGAATTGGGGTGTGGGGAGTCCTCTGGCTGAGACACTGAAAGCTATAGACCAATGCAGATAGTCCTAGGCTAGTTGACCCGGTTAAGACAACGTTATACGTTAAGGCAGAACATGAAAATTGAGGTTGTGACTCTGTCCTACCTCTCTTGCATCAAATTATTCCATTTAAGAGGCTGCCTCCCGCTTAAATTCTGGGTGACAGAGGTGGTAACTTGTTCAGTGTGGTGGATTGCTCATAGGAAAATGTTTTATACCGAGTCAGATCATTGGTCTATCTAGCCCAATATTGCCAACACTGACCGGCAGCAAATTTCCAGTGTTTCAGAGCCATTTCAGACAGCAGATATTCTCAGCCCTATTGGGAGATCCTGGGGATTGAACCTGGGACCTTCTGCATGCAAGACAGATTCACTACCACTGAGCTACAGTCTTCCTTATGGATTCCTCTAGCCCTGGCACCCCACATTCTTGTCTCTTTCCTGCCTTCCCATGGATATTTAATTGTGTGTGAATATTTTAGCAAGGAAGGTAGCATATGCTAAACTAGGTCAAAAGGAAGATTTATGATGCTGTCTTGTGTAGCTTACTGGGTGGGGGAGAGAAACCTTATGCTTCGGGCATCAGTTCAAATTTTTCCTGCCACTGTTCTTGAAGTGTGTTTTCTGCTTTTGTTTTATTCAGCACATTTATGGAATACGTTTATTTATTAATGAAAAAACAAAACAAATTAAAAGCAAACATCGCTGATATATTCATCTTTCCCCCCTTTCTTTTTAATAAACCCTTACAGAAAGTATGTCTCTTAAGCCTTTTAGGTGTTTGGGTTTATAAACTGGTATTTGAAGAGATTGGCTAGTTAGCAGAACACAGTCACACCTTCTGGGTTCTTATGAATAAATTAATTGAGGCTGAGATATTCCAAACCATTTCAGCTCCGAATGGAATCAGGTTTGCATACCTAACTCCCTTATTAAGCAGCATTTGAAAGTCTCACCCTAAAGCGATGTTCTGCAGAGGTGACGAAAAAGGGATGAGGACCGTGGAAGTGTTCATTCTTTTCATATTCATCTGGGCTTGCTTTCCCCTCTGTTCTGAGAAAAGCAGTGTGTCCTTGCACGGGCTTGCTTAGGGTGATATCAGCAGCACTTTACAATTCCAGGAAGACAGAGGCAAGGGAGCTCTAATGAATATGTTAGCATGAAATTTATACTTGCAGCCACCTGCTATCCAGTCAGCTGTGTTAATGCCTGGCACAACCTCAATCCCAGAGAGACTTCCTGTCTCTCCCCCCCTGCAGAAGTCAAGTCACTTTCTCTAATGCATTTTGAGCCACCTGTAGACCTGTCCAGCTGTGTAAATTGCATTGCAATAAACCTTCTAAGCCAGCCTGAAAAGAAGTCGCTTCCAAATATATTTTCCCACCTTCACAGAGATTAAAAAGACAGGGTCTTTTTTATTTTGTCCCAAATTGTAAACAAGGGTGATTCAGTCATCCAGTTTGTTGTTTAGTACCTTACAAAGGTTATACTAGACTGAATTAAAATAAACCACAGCCAGATCCTAAATTTGTTCAGTAGTACATAGTTAAGGTCAGTGCGGAGCAATTCTGACCTTGTTCACGCAAAACTCCCCAGTGAGTTATCCCATAGGTGGATTTAGGGCAGTGTGAATGGTTCCACTGCACTGGGTGCTGACCCTAGGGGGCGCCACAGGGCATTGCAACTAGGACATAGTGAATTGAGCAGAATAGAAGGCAGTGTGTGTGTTTGTGTGCGCGCGAAATTCCAGCCTTGCACAGGGTGCTGCTGAAATCTGAAAAACCAAAGTCCACCTCTTGCAATCCTAACTCAGAAGTAGGTCCTAGTAAATTCAGTGGTGCGTATTCCCAGGTAATTTAATGAATACCAGCCATGGTGGAGCCCAATTGGATCAGGACTGCAGTGTTCTTCAGAGAGGGGGTCTGACTCTTTCCTCTGCACAATTTCCCACTGAACATTACTCCACGCTCCCATTTGCCTTTGAAACAGCAGTGTGTGCCATGGTCCCAGACCCAGGTTTCCCCTTCCACAACTTCTTTTACACATACACACACACATGTTAGGGGATAAGCAGGTTGTGACTGAATAGACTACTAATATTTATTAAACTGAATTCAGTTTGATAGATGCACAGTTAAACTATGAAATGAATGAAGGTATAGTTAAACAGATTTGAAGATGAGTATGATATTTCATTATGCTACATTAATCTTCAGTGGTACCTCGGGTTACATACGCTTCAGGTTACAGACTCTGCTAACCCAGAAATAGTGCTTCAAGTTAAGAACTTTGCTTCAGGATGAGAACAGAAATTGTGCTCCGGCGGCGTGGCAGCAGTAGGAGGCCCCATTAGCTAAAGTGGTGCTTCAGGTTAAGAACAGTTTCAGGTTAAGTACGGACCTCCGGAACGTATTAAGTACTTAACCCAAGGTACCACTGTATATATAAAGCACTTGCAAGTCTTAAAATCAGAATTCACTCCAAAAGATGTAGAACATTTAGCTGAGAATTAAAAAATAAATAATCAGATAAAATAAATAAAAGACCATATTTAACTACAGACCGGCTATTAGCATGAGATTAGTAAACCAAATGAGATAAAATTTATAATTTAATCTATTATTGAAATATAGCAAAGCAGTCTGAATGACTCGAGCAACTCTTTTCTCTAAAGTTCACTGCCTTTTTTCCTTTCCCCTTTCAGCGCAAATTCAGTAAGTTGCAGAATGATGAATGGAAGCATCCCACGGAGAAATATTTAAATTGTCACATTAGAAAAGTCATAAAGTAAGTAGTAAAATGCAGATGAAAAACAGCCAAGTAAAAGGGAGTAAATTGAAAATGGCTTGCTTGATGGTGCAATTGAAAGACATTGCCAAATCACTGTTTATTTGTAACATGTTTTGTTCAGCAATTGGAACCACCTTTGGTTACAAACAAGAACGTTTTCGGTGATTTAATATTCTAGTCCTATTTAGTATGAATATTTCTCCACTTTGAACAAGAGTTATGAGTACTTTTGCATCTGGTTAAGTCTTTAGTCGTGTGGCTTTCTATTGTATACAGTATATTTTGTTTTGCTCATCTATGGTTATCCAGTCCACAACTTCAGGATAGAACAGGCTGCACATTAAGATAAGTTTTAAGAAACAGGGGGGACGGGGATGGACCCTCTTATTTCTATCCCCCCAGCTTGTGTTTCAGTGTATTTAACTACTTATTAACTATCCTTAGGCAATAACCATGCCCCCTGAAGAGCTTCTCATATGCAAGTTCCTTAGAAATGAAGGGGTGATGTTTAAAAGCACAGCTGTTCTCTCTGGTTTATTACAACAGAGCCCAGGCAGAAATTCCAGCTCCATTGCATCTGGTACCTGTCAAGCAGGTATTGTGGCATGTGGAAACAGGAGCTGAAAAGAGGCTGGCACTGGCAGGGGGGCAAGTATGCGTTGTGCAACCCACACATTGCTTTGGAATTTGCTTTGTTCTAGCAGACCCTCCAAGTGTCCCTATTTTCCAGGGACACCCCTGATTTAGAGAAGTCATCCTGGTTTCTGATTTGATCCCAGAATGTCCCACTTTTCCTTAGGATGTCCCTATTTTAATTGGGGAAATGTTGGAGGGTATGGAGTTATCCAACCCCTGAGCCATTTGAAGGCAATCCTGTGTAGGGAAGTTTTTTTTTTAATGTTTATAGTTTTATTATGTTTTTATATATGTTGGAAGATGCCCAGAGTGGCTGGGGCAACCCAGTAAGATGTGTGGGGTATAAATGGTAAAATTATCATTATGGAATGTGATGTCCCTATTTTCATCAGAGAAATGTCAGAAGGTATGTTCTAGTCCAGGGGTCAGCAAACTTTTTCAGCAGGGGGCCGGTCCACTGTCCCTCAGGCCTTTTGGGGGGCCGGACCATATTTTGAAAAGCAAAACAAAACGAATTCCTATGCCCCACAAATAACCCAGAGATGCATTTTAAATAAAAGGACACATTCTACTCAGGTAAAAACACAGATTTCCAGACTGTCCGCGGGCTGTATCTAGAAGGCAATTGGGCCGCATCCGGCCCCCGGGCCTTAGTTTGCCTACCCATGTTCTAGTCCTTTCCCCATGATAAGCAGGGCCAGCCCAATACATTTTGGCACCTGAGGTGGATCTCCAAATGGCAACTTTCCTCACCTTGCCTCATGGGTGGGCCGGCCCTGCAGATAAGGCTCATATGATGGACTGTCAGTTAAAGGGACATAGGAGGTCACAATTCATTCTGAGAGGGAAGTGGATAGGGGAGAAGGATAAGTCAAGTAAGGAACTGCCTTGGCCCTTAGAATGTGCTGTTTTTCAATAGCTGCCATAGAACTTAGGGGACATGTTTGTGTACATGAAGGTGAGCCACCTATATCTTTCATTGCTTGTGACCTGCACACAATGGAAAATCATGGACAAGGATGTGTCATTGGGGCAAGCTGGAATACATGCTGCTTGCTTCATGTTTTGTACCAGCGGCATTGAATTGTGTTGTGTACTGAAGTTCTCACCCTGGGCCAGCAGGGGGATACTGTAGATAGTTCAGGTCCACATATGCAAGTAAGGGATTGAAAGTGACGTTCAGTGATTGGATAGTTACAGAAAGTTGTTACAGTTACGTTGTACTGGAGCTCTATATAAGCAGGCTGACTGAACCCTTCAGTTCAGTTCTGTTCTGACCTGTGAATAAACAAGAGCTGTTTGGAAAATCACTGTGTCGTCTGATATGTTCACCCACAACTTAACAAATTGGACAAAGAGTTTTGGAGATAGTGTCATTTGAAGCACATACAATGCATCATATAGATAGAACCCATTGCAGCGGTGCAGTTTTCTCACCTGTTATATTGGTTGAAGAGAGGCATACACTTATAGGGAACTTGTGGCCCTCCAGGCTGGCTTTCAAGGTTCAACAGCTAATACAATAATTCCCTAACTATCTTAGCTGCTGCCCTTCCTGTGACCTTTGTTTGACCCACTTACGCTCTGCCGCAAAGCCTTTGGTTTCTTTAGCCAATTGGTAGCCAGAAGCAGGAAACGGGTCACTGTATGAGTTAGGCCTTCCTGTAGAGATGCCTTTGATGCTCCTATGTGGGTTTGCTGATTGTTCCCTGATGACAAAACATGAAAAGGTGATGGCGTGCAAGTCGTAGTCAAAATACAACTGACAGTAAAGGATGGCCTCCTAGGCAGGAGAGTCGGGAAGGAAGGAAGGCAAACAAATCTAAAATTAGTATCAAAGAGAGTGTGGTGTTTCTGCACCTTCCTGTGCTTATGCTCAAAGTAGCTTAGATTTATATAGCCAACTGAGGCTCTCTCTCTAACTATGAAGCCCTGCAGATGTAAGCTTTGGGAGAGCATAAACATGTCACACAAACATCCGTTTGTGAAATGATACATGTGAAACCTTAATAATTTAAATGTTCTGGCGAGCAAGGAAGATGTGAGTTAAGGGAATATATTCCGGGCCAAAACAAAAATTAGGATGATTGTATTTTGCTGGAGGGAAAACTGCATTATTATTTTTTTAAAAAAAGAAGCTGGATGGAAAAGAAGGATGTGCTCTTGCACTTTTAACAGTTGGGTAAAAGAGGGAGTTTAAGCAGGTGTCATGGAAGCTGCACCTGCTGAAATTTTTCTCTCCTGTGCAACAATAAAAGACACAATAGGTTCTTGATATTTTCCATCTGGCGACCTCACCTCACTTGCATAGCATACTGTTTTAACATGAAATATTGCTACCTTACTTTCCATATGGATTTATAGGAAGGACTGGGGGTGGTATGAGGATTTTCTGACAAGAGCAGCTGGATTGATAAGGGTTGGGCAAATGCCAGAGAGGAGGGGCCTTAGAAACATGGCCAAAAATGGAGGAAAATATGGCGGTATTACCAGCAAGACCCCCTGACATGCAAGCAACTGTAATCCTGTTAGTGGCCCATATATTTCAAAGCTGTGTTGAATCTGGCACGTTAAGGTTAACTTGAAAGTAGCAGGGAGCTGTTGAGTAAAATAAGCTAATCTTGATTCTTGAAATTCAGTTCTCATATCTGAGTCTTTCATTTGACCTTCCTTTAAAGAAATAAAAATAAAAATGCGTCAGCCCAGGAGAGAAGTTGCTTTTTAAGAAGCCTAAGAAATAATGGCCACAACTGGTGATTGGATGAACACAATGAGAATGAAGATAAAGAACTGGAAGTCTGATCTTTTCTTTTGCCCTCATAAAGAAGCTCGGAACACCACAGTGGTGCCTGAACTCATAAATAAAGCACAAAAGAGACTTGAACCTTGGTCTTCAACAGCGCGAGGTAAAATGTCATTGCATGAGATATTTTTACATGATTGGTTATTGCAAATGTCTAACCAGCTTCCCCCCCCCTTTAAAGGTTTTACTCTTGGACACTGTAGGGAATTTGGATTTTCCTTATGCAGAGTTTCTCTAGCTGCACCTTGAGTGACTCGTTTATATCACTTTTTTTTTAAAAAGGAGATTATAATCCCGATAAATAGTTTTTGTCACATTCAAGTGCAAGAGGGCTTCTTTTGTAAAAGATTCTTTCAAATATGTTTGCTCAAATCTGAGATCTAAGAAGCACAATAAAATATATTTAACTGTAGTAATTCTAATGCCTGACAAGCATTAGAATGTGTTTGTATAACTGTATAAATAAGTGTTGTATAAAGACTAAACAGTATTTTCCAATCAGGCATAAATTACTTTTAATTACAAAGTTGTTTACATGCCTTGTTCACTCTTACAACACTGGTGTGTGTGTGTGTGTGTGTGTGTGTGTGTGAGAGAGAGAGAGAGAGAGAGAGAGAGGGGAGGAGGGAGAGATGAGATGAGATCAATTTTTGCATTTTGTAGGTCAGAAACAGCCCATGAGTCCCTGACTGAAGTGGGGTGTGAACTCTGCTTTGTGCGCTGCAGTTATAGTTGTTTCAAAGTGCTGCCGTGTGCTTTGGGGGGGGGGGGGAGAGCATAATCACTGAAACGGAGAAATTGCAATTTAAAGATTTAATCAGGCAAAGAATTACACCTGAATAGAACAAATTTAACAGTAAACATTTAGTAGGTATGGCTTTTAATTTAACAGATCTATTTGGAGGCTGCAGGTGGGCGGGCGATTCATCTCTTTGAATTCTACCGCCATGTAAAAACTCAAGCAACCACTCTGCATGTAGTAAGTAGTACACCAGGGAGAAGGTTTTAGCATAGTTTCCCTTGCTCCAATGTTTACCCCATGCAGTTTATCCTATGAAGGGAGCTTTAGTTTTAAGATGAAGAGCATTCAAAGGGACAACTTTGTGTTCCTGCAATCTGACATGGCATATTTCACAATGGGATCACTTCAGTCTACTGCTTCACTGGTGGACTTCTTCGCATTCATCAGTCACCCACCATGCAAGAAACCAAGTGATGCTGTGCCTTAGGAGAAGTCAACCCTAGGAGAGTTTGTCAAGGTTCCTCAAAGGCCTGCAAGCATCAGGGATGTTCATTCAATGAGCCCAAAGCTTGGGGGTGGGGAATAAAAATAAATTCTTAGAACAGTGATGTGGAGTCATTGACCTTCCAGGTGGCCCATTGGGGCTGCTGCAAGTGGAGTCCAACATCTGGAGATCTACAGGTTTCCCATCCCTGGAGATGCAAATGGTGGATTCTTTGCAGATCTCAGAAGAAACAAACAGAGGTTTGGAAATACGTGTTGCACACAGATTTCTTACATCCATATTTTGGTTTAATGTGGCTTGTGAGCCCCTTGTGCTTCCTTTAATTTCTGCTTGTTCTTGCAGCATTGTCTGTCAACTACTACTGTCCCACAAGTCCACTTACCTTTCCCGGTGGGCAGTGTTGCGGCTGGGCATCCTGGACCTCTTAGTGATCCAGCTGGGAGGTGGAGGAATGCCACCCTCATTGCACTGACTCCCGGCCCTGCCACGTGCCCAGCTGTCCAATTGTCACAGCCGGGGGTATGGTCATGGGCTGTTTAAACCATGGCATGGCTTGGGGGGCTTCCTCCTTTCATCTCCTCACCAGATCTCCCAGCCCCCCGCCCCTTTTATGCGTTGCTATAACAGTGACTTATGGACAAATGCCGGCCGCCATATTGGTGGGGCTGCGTAGGAATTTTTCCACTTGGCAGATTGGCACCAGCCATTTGGTTTTTGCCTACCTTGTAGCAATCATCACAACTTTGTAAGGTTAGGCATTGGGTAAGCCTTTGTTTATGGTTGTAGTCTCTGCCTGCCCTCCTCAATAAGGGTATCCTGTTAAAGGGATCCAGGGGTGTTGATCCTGTCCAAAGCCTGGACTTAGGCTAGGGCCATGCCACAACCCCAACGGGGACCCCACAGGGTGTCCCAATTTGACGTATGTCATAGGGCTGCCCCTACTGGTGGCTTACCCTTAGTGAGACTCCCTGAAGACAGGCAGGAGTCGGGATATAGCCTGGTTTCACCCAATGCCTAAGCCAAAGCGCTCACATTTGTAACCAATCAAGTTGTGGCCTAATTTATCCCATAAACATAAATATTCCTACGAAAGAGCCTTACAAAAAAGGCTCCTCATGAGGCCGGAGGAACATCACCCGGCTATTATTTTATTGATTTAATATGCTGTCAACCGCTTTGAGATTTTTATTAAAAATATAAAGCGGTATAGAAATTAAAATTTTGTGTGTGTGTGTGTGTGTGTGTGTGTGTGTTTATTATCTAATGCTGGGGTGCCCAAACATTTTTCAAAGAGGGCAAGATTTGATGAAGTGAACATGTTGAAGTTGTTGAGCTTCATTTTCTTATTCAAACTGTCAAAACATAGGGAACCTCTGGGGAATTAAAGGAGGCGCAAATGATTCACAATCCACATTAAGATGGGGTATTGACAGGCTCTTAGGGTTATGGCTAATGCTAGTTCTACTCAGAGTAAAAAGGTAAAGGTACCCCTGACCGTTAGGTCCAGTCGTGGACCACTCTGGGGTTGGCGCACTCGTCTCGCTTTACTGGCCGAGGGAGCTGGCTTTTGTCCGCAGACAGCTTCAAGGTCATGTGGCCAGCATGACTAAGCCAATTCTGGTGAACCAGAGCAGCGCACGGAAACACTGTTTACCTTCCTGCTAGAGAGGGACCTATTTATCTACTTGCACTTTGACATGCTTTCAAACTGCTAGGTGGGCAGGAGCTGGGACTGAACAACGGGAGCTCACTCCGTCACAAGGATTTGAACTGCCGACCTCCTGATCGGCAAGCCCTAGGCTCTGTGGTTTAGACCACAGTGCCACCCGCATCCCATTCTACTCAGAGTAGACCCATTTAAATTAATGGGCATGACTAACTCAGGGTCATTGATTTCCAGAGGTTTAGGACTTAGTTGTATACAACCTTAAAATCTGAAGACTAAGTTAAAAATTTGATATAAACTGTTCTTTAACAGTGCTCTGACCCAGTTGCATGCATTTATGTGCATATTTTTCAGATCTGTGGCATGGCATGGGGTTAATTTTTTTTTTTTTTTTGCAGGTGAATCAATGGCTTAAAGAGTCTTAAAAGCCCTTTCAGCATCTAACATCAGGAACAGAGCTGTATACTTTCAAATGACAACAGTGCTTGACTGCCTTTTTTTCCCTGGGAAAAAGGGGGCAATTGTGTTCTTCTTGTTAACACAACTGCTTACAGCTTTCTTTTGGGCTGTCTGGCTGACGACAAAAAGAGACGGATTGTGCTGCCAGGTCTGATGCTTTTGTGCTGTTAAATAGATTTGTGAAGCTTTTTTCTAGTATCAGGGGAGGTCAGGAAATTAAAATTAGCAGGGTTAAACTAGAAAATAGCTTCTTGGAGAAATGTAGAAGAGGAGAGGATGGCATAAGATCAGGAAATTCCAGATAAGAGCTCATTTTGATCTGTGGTAGCAAAAGAGAAGTACTGCAACTTCTTAGAGACTCACAAGCTGGATTTGGGAGTTCACACAATTATAATTGCTTGAAGAATCCCTGATTGTGTTGCGTCTTCATCATCTGGCCTCAACACCTTTCATGCGTTGGAAGAGGAGGAGGAGGAGGATGAGGATGTGAAGCTGGGAACCTGCTGTATATGTGCAGCCTTCCTGCATGATTTAGACCTCTGTGTGATGTTGGAACCCTGTGTGGTCAGGGTTCAAAATCAAACAGTGTGCCTTCATGAATGGAGTAGGCGTCCTTCTTTAGAAGAACTTCTGCCCCAGTGAGTGGATGAGTTGATGAGGTTGCTGACTCCACACTCCCATGATTCTAGTTGTATATGAATGCCTGAACAGAGCAGCTTGATGAATGCATGTTTGTTGCTCATTGATTGTGACACCAAATACTTACTCTTCTATGTGAGTTAACCCTCACAGAGTAATCACCATAGACTGAACACAATGACAAAGACCTTTCTGTTTCACCCAGCATCTTAAGGAACTTGTACTATGCGTATTTATGGAACTTAGATTTTTTGTTTTGAACACCATATCAATTTATGGTTTTATTGGTCTGGCCTATGGGTAAAATTTGATCTGTTTCAATTTGGACTGCAAAGCCATTTTCTCCACGTGACATGCTCCTGTGCCACACCTGTTGTCATATGGAAAACTCAATCATGCAGCTGATCTCTGCAGAAAGTCTGGGAAGGAAGGAAGGAAGGAAGGAGCGAGCAAGCATTGATTAATCCCACCTCAGGCTCAGATTATTATTACATTTTAAAATCTTGCTTCTCTTCTAAGGTGTGCAAGGCGGTGTGCATAGCTTCACAATAGCTCTGTGAGGTAAACTGGGCTAGCAGATGGCAAATTGGTTTTAAGGGCATCTTGAATTGGTTTCATGGCAGGAGCTTTCCCAGGCAAAAATATTCTTTGTCACGTACGCGAGGTGATGGGTTTATGCACACACACACACATTTGGATCATGACACACAGGAAGAGAGGCAAACTTAACACGCTGAAACATAAAGATAACAGCAAAGTCTACAATCTGAGGCGGGTGTGCTAAGCAGGTTTGCAGTGCACAACAAAAAAAGTCGGATGGTGCTTTCTATCTCATTCCTAAAATCACCAGCAACCCTCAAATTCCATCTGTAAGTATTACCTGAAGGCAGTTAGATAACCACGACAGAAGAACACTGCCCAATTGACAACAGATAATGCGAACACTGACGATTATGCATTACTGTTATTGATCAGCTGCTGAAAGGCAGGGGCTGCGCCTTGGGTTTGGATAATCAGCTCCGCAGTGGCTTTTATCTCTGAAGACGCCATAAGGTCTGTCGATCCTTGGAGCTTGGGTTCCTAACAGCTGTCTGGTGGCTTGAAGCAACAGGAATTGACAAGGCAGGAGGGGATGGGCT